CCCCCCCCCCCCAACCCACATAGCACCATGTATTGTTATTATTCTTTTAATAATATGAAATAATATATAAGTTAATGCTATTTTTCTAGTTAATTTGAGCTTTTGTGTTCGAGATCTTGTAGCTTTAAAGAATTAAGAAGGTTTTGCCAATGGCAAGTTGATTGGGAAGCTTTTTCATCTGTAAATTGGTTCGTTTGTCCATTATTATAAAATCGGAACTATTAGCGATTCACTGTCTGATATATGTTCGCAGCATGTCCATTGTTTCACAAGTCATACATAGTAGAAATATAGAAATATAACTTGTAAACTCAAATAGAAAATCTTCCATATCGATTAAATGCAGAAGCCACTTTTACATGGTATCCTTAGTATTAGTAATAATTAGTAGATAATTTAAGTCATCTAGTACAGATAATAGATTATATAGTAGTATTGAAACATAGTTCGGCTTACTGCGAATTCATTTACTTAACTTATTTTATGCCATCATTTCTGTTTGCTATCTTTTTGATCTTTATTCCTTCTACTCACCTTTCTTCGTTATAGTCCACTACTCTGCCCGTTCTCTTTGCTCTATCTTTTTCTTCTTGATTCTTACTCCTCATTCTTCTTCGTTTTCAATTCATTCTTCTTTTCTTCCTTTTTTGCTTCTCTTGTCATTGTAGGCCGAACTGCGTCGTGACTGGAGATTTCAACATCTAGAAGGAGAGTGCACACCATTGAATTACAGCACATTAAGAATTTTTTGGATGATGCATGAGTCAGTAAGGCTTCCTGTATTATTCCTAATAATCATTTCATTTGCCAGGAATGATTGTTGCATTCCTTCTGAAGTGAATACATAATTATATATCGTTATATATTTATATCGTAGAGATTGAAATGTCCGCTGCTACGCTTTATACTAAATGCCACCAAGGCGACATCGTCCAAAACGACTTTGTTGGCGTATCTCGAACGGGTAATTGAACCGATAAAATCATATATCAAAAAGAATTATCAACAAGGAAGACTAAAAAAAGAGAACAATAAAGAATTGTGCCCTGAGGGGAATGGTTTCGTGGCCATAAATACCCATCTTTGAGTCCAAAGCTGTGTAATTCGGCGCAAATCCGATATTTGTCGCATGTAGAAGATCATAAAAAACAACTGTGATCGCGGTTCAACAACCGCGATATCCCCTCCGAAAGCATGAAGGCGCACCTAGGTGAAGGCAGAGCTTTCGAATGTGGCGCACTGAGTTAATGGCCAAAAAATGATAAAAATAAAATGATAAATGTACTACTGGTAAATAGTAACAGAAAAAATTCATTATCGCGGATATTTATGTTGAAAAGTTCATATACGAATAACTTTATATATTATAATATAAATGTACCGTTAATAGCGATTTTGAGCAATTAAACAGATCTGTTGGAGGCTCAGTTAATAGCTCTGCACATTAAAATTTAACTCTAAATTCCTTACCTTTTCTTCTTAAAAAATAATTGCTTTCAAATAACTTCACCCCCTAATCTACAGAATAGTGCTCCACTCAACTGTGCGTTGATTTACAGATTTTAAATTTTAAGATTTTGGGATTCTCATTATAATTTGTTACTCTGTCTAAGCCTATTTGTTTTTTATATTTATTCAATGCGTTCAAGTGTTTTCTATTGTTTTCTACTGGTTTTCTATTTTCTTGAAACTTTATACTTTCTGTAACACCCTAGTCCAAACTCACTGATGCGCCTCGGGGACTAGCGTA